GGCCGAGGCGTATACAACTCGGTCGAGTCGTATCGGATTCTGCTGATACTTTGAACCGTGGTTTGGATGGAATGATTTTCACAATGGAAAGGGGAAAACGAGTATTCTCAGTACATCTAATTATGATCTACTTAGCATGATGGTGGCTTTCTTTGTGTGGAGGCAGCCTTGGAATCTCCCTTTTGGTCATTAATAATTGTTGGCATAGGAGGAAAAACATTTTCATTGGTGCTGCATATGCAAAAGCTCGGAGGAAAGAGTTGTCACCCTTTTTATCATTGCAAGGTGGTATTGTGCTCAAGTAGTATTCTCTGTTAGGCTTGGTGTGGGTGATGCCAAGGTCAGTGAGGCAAATGTTGTGTATGTGGAAAGGAATTCAGGTTCTGTGGAAGCTTCAGATACTGTGGGATATAGCTTCTCTGTCTCATATGGGACTATTTGGACAGACAGGAACATGATCATGAAGGAATTGAGATACCCTGCACAAGTTTACACGTGATGTTGAGTAGATTATCTTTGGGCTAAAAGGGATATATCTGGGATGTAATGATGTTGTTGATTTATCGAGTAATTTCCAAGATGGGAACTTAAGTGTACATATTTTTGGGCTCCCCTTTGTACATGGGTGCACCCCTCTTTTCAGTGCTTGCTAATGAAATTTACCTACCTATCAAAAGAGGAGAAATTCGTTTTTTTTTTTTTGAGGGGGGGAGGAAATTCAACAATATATATTGAGGGAAGTGCTTTGAGATCTAGTATACTAAATAGGCCCAAGTTGTTTGACTTCTAGAACACCTGACCAAAAGAGTTAGATCTCTATATGGACACAAGACCCATAAACCAAACATGACCCGACAAAGAAAGCTAATCATCCCCAACATTTACAACAGCCCAAAGAAAGCTAGCAAGCATGTTGTGTGAACAGTCGACGGTTGTGGGGTTGGCTTGTTGAACGTTGCAACATCGTACCACTGAGGGGCCAAAGTGGTGCAATCTTCTCTGCTATCTGGGTGGCCTCTGTAGCTAGCTTCTTGCTTGCCTCTCCCTTTTCTCTACTCTCTTCAGGTTCCTTCACATCCACTGTGACAACAAATTTGATATTTTTTCCTTTATTATTTTTGATTATCATTTTGCACATGGCACTGGTTATTGATCTCTGGTTGCTTTGGGGATCTATTAAAATTCATTAGTGTATGACCAAACAATTATTGCACATTTAGGTTTCCATGGATATTCTACAGATATCTCAAAAGTTTTAGTTTCACCATCATTTTCCTCTCTTATGTCAAGATCAAAGGATTCAACCAGTCCTTGTTCAGTATCCAACTCAATGCATACACGAACAAAGCTTGTCCTTTTCTTCATATCAGTTTGTCTGTCTGCGTAGAAGGGTCTTCCCACTACACTGGCCACATAACTTGGTCCTTCCTCTGTCCAATACTCCAAAGGGATATTGTAAAAGTTAACCCACACAAGAATCTTGGAATGGACTTCCTTTGTGAGTTCCATGTTTGGATACCACTTCTTGAGAGGTCTTCCAGAAAGCATCCAAGGCCCCATCTCAACCACCTTGAGCACTATTCTTCATTGGAGGATCTGAAGAAATAAAAGCCCTTATCATTGGCTAATACCTCCATGAGCCCCATTTGACCGCATATCTTGTGAACTATGGCATTGACCACAGAATAAGGCAGTTTTTTCTCTACAAAATAGCTAACCAAGCAATGTTCCCAGTTGCTATAACCCTTTTGAGCTACTTCGTTTGGAGGAGATACAAATATTTCGTCTCCATCTTTAGCTGGTTTGCAGTATTTCAATTTCACGTGGCTTCTGGAAATTTCATGTTCCTTTGAGGATGGGTTAGCCTGATTGCCAGGTTGGACTATTTGTCTCCATTTTGGCTTTTGGGTTGGCCATTTCCTTCCATCAGCTTTTCCCTCATTTTGGGCAGAAGGCAAAAAAGCACCTGTCTTATCAACAGGAAAAGAACCTGCCACCCCCCTAAAGGAATCTGTCAGCTTCCTAAGGGAATGGAGTACGACTGTTTTACCTTTGTTATTTTGGGATGGGGCATTTTCAGAATTCAAACTTGAGGTAGAGATCACGTGAGCTGCACCCTCCTTCATCCCAGCTACCAGCCCACTGACCTCCATGGGAGTAGACAGGAATTGTTGCTGCGAGAGTTGTAGTGTTTTGATGCTTGGGGGATGAGCCTTTCATAGCCATAGAACTGGAAGAATCTTTTGCATGGGCTTTACTCTTCTTTCCCTTATCATTAAGACCAATCTCCAATTCAGAAATTGGAATGCCACACTGGAATCCATGAATCATGCAGGGAGCTTGGTAGTATAAGGATAACAAATATGGAAAAGAGGCAAGAAGGATAAAGTTAAAAAAAAAAATTTTGAAGGGGGGCGGGGGGAAAGAGGATGATAGGAAGCAATTTTGAGGTGATGATGATGAAGGCAAATCAGAATAGGAGCTAGAAAGGTGACAAGTACTGGAGGAATAAGATAATGAAACTAATTGATCAAGTGAAACACTAAGTTTGATGGTCAAGAAAGAGATCATTCGTTCAGTATGGTAGTGGGTTCAGGTTGGAGATGGAGAGGAGAGGAGAGGAGGAGAGAAAGGCAACATCATTTCTTTCAAATCTAAACTTTTTAACTATTACGTTGTTAAAAAGTTGTTTTCCTATTATGTTCTACTTTCCTAATATTGCAATGGTCTTTAATATCAATCTTATATAAATAGGTGACTGGGTGTTGACAACACACCCTACTCAAAATATTGTTCCATAATCTCTCTTTTTCTCGCTTCTCCTAGAATACCTGGTCCGCCATTGTCAGAATCTGATTCTGACATGATAATGAGTTGAATTATTATGGCATTAGGGTTTTAGAAAATAAAAGGAAGAAGAGAGAAAGAGATTAGGAAAAGTGTATATTGTATTAGGTTAAAGCAACCACAACATATATATAGTCGCATACCGCAAAAAACTAAACTACTCTTATTCTAGTATTAATGCAAACATAACACTCCCCTTCAAGTTGGTGCATAGATATCTTTCATGCCCAAATTACAAACAAAAGGGTGAAAACCTTGCTACTGAGCCCCTCAGTGAAGACATCATCCAACTGATTCTCTGATTTCACAAAAAAACATGTAAATCAAACCTTGTTTAATTTCTCCTCAATAAAGTGTCGGTCAGTTTTAACAAGTTTAGTTTTATCATGTTCAATTGGATTATGGGTCATGTTGATAGCAGCCTTGTTGTCATAGTATAACTTCATAGGTCCATCATCAGAAAACCCCAATGCTCTCAGTATTGTTCAAAGCCACAAAAACTCACAAACCCCATGGGTCATAGCTCTATATTCAACCCCCACACTAAACCTGGCAACCACTTCTTGCTTTACCATGTAACCAGATTACCTCCAATCAAGATACAGTAGTTTGAAGTTGATCTTCTATCATCCACGCATCACTAAATGCTTCCAGTTTTAAATGACCATTATTAGATAGCAAGATCCATTTTTTTGGAGTTGATTTAAGGTATCTCAAAATGCAATAAACAACTTTAAGATGAGAAGCTCGAGGATCATGAATGAATTGATTGACAACGCTCATTGCATAAGCAATATCTAGTCGGGTATATGACAAATAGATTAATCTCCCCACTAGTCTGTAGTATCTCTCCTTTTCTACTACCTCATCAATACCACCACTCAGTCGATGGTCGACTTTAATAGGGGAATTGGTAGGTCTACATTCCAACATCCTCAGTTCTTCTAGAAGATCAATGACATACTTTTTCTTGAAGATAAAAATCCCTTTATCCAACCTGGCAACCTCAATCGCAAGGAAGTATCTCAATGGACTCAAATCTTTGATTTCAAACTTCTTAGCCAACTAAACATTCAATTTGGTGGTTTCATTCTCATCATTCCAATTATCACTATGTCATCCACATGTACAATGATGACGGTGATCTTATCATCAATCTGTTTGATGAACATGGTATGCTCAGTTTGACTCTGTTTACATCCAAACTTCAACATAGCCTTAAGGAACCTATCAAACTAGGCCCAAGGGAATTACTTCAATCCAGAAAGAAAGTTCTTCAATTTATACACCTTCCTTTTAGTTATTTAAGATTAAAAACCCAGAGGAACCATGTACACATTCTCCTCCAAATCTCCGTGAAGAAAGACATTCTTCACATCTAATTGCTACAAAGTTCATCACAAACTAGCTGCACAGAAGATAATTGCATGTATGGAGTATATCCATTTTTTTTTTTTTGGGTAAGTATGGAGTTCATTGTTGCCACAATAACAAAAGTCTCTTGATAATCAATACCATATTTCTATGTAAATCCATTAGTAACCAACCTAGCTTTGTACCTCTCGATAGTCCCATCAACTTGTTGTTTCACAGCAAACACCCATATGCACCCTACAGTCACTGCTCCTAGAGAATATAAATAAGCTCCCATGTGTCTTTCTTTTTCAAGACTTGTATTTCCTCCATCATAGCTTCTCTCCACTTAGAATTAGCAAGAGCCTTTTTCCAACTCCGAGGTATAGATATAGAAAATAAGGAATAAACAAATGCACGACTGGATGAAGACAAAGAAAAATAAGAAAGTAAGAGATAGGATGTTGAGTGCCAAGTACGAACATCCATTCTAACTGTAATGGGAAGCTCAGTCATCAACAACTGGATGAACCAAAACAAGAGTAACATTTAGAGATTCATTACCTGATAAATCGATGAAAGATGAAACTGAAGTAGTGGAAGTCAACTGGTTCAGTGGCACGTGGGTAATCTGTACCTTTTGACGCCAAGCATAAGTCTTTAGATTATCCTTTTGAAGATGTTCGCCATATGAATCACTTATATCACCTTTTTTCTCCACAAGGTGTTGTTCTCCCTCACTAACATCCCACTGAATAAGCAATTGAAGAAGGTGCTCCAGACAAAACATCTCTTCATTTGTAATGGCATTCTCTCCCAAAATAGATTTTTGGGTAGTAGAGAAGAATGGCTCAAATTCCCGAAATGTGAGATCCATGCTAACATACATCTAAGACTATGGATGATAGCATTTACAATCCTTTTGGCCGATAGAATAACCAAAAAAGACACTGCAAAGACCAAGAATCAAGTTTCTCCCTGTATAGTTTGTAATCATGTACATAATGCGCACACCCAAAAACATTAGGAAGGATAGAAATAGAAGGGATAGAAAAGACTTAGAAAGTCACTCAATTGGTAACTTAAACCAAAAGACACTCAAGGTCAAATGATTAATAAGAGTAGTAGTAGTGGAATCTCCTCCCCCTAATCTTAACATTCATACTGAACAACAATAAACAAGCAACCTCAAGAAGATGATGATTAAATGTAATTGTAGTGTGGTATTAAATGTAATTGTAGTGGCTATTAATTATTAAATGTAATTGTAGTGGGGTATTAAATATAATTGTAGTGAGCATTAAATATAATTACAGTGGGTATTAACTATTAAATGTAATTCCAGTGGGTTATTAAATGTAATTGCAGTGGGTATTAAATATAATTACAAGGGGTATTAAATATAATTATTCATACTTAAGACAAAAAAATATATATATAAAAGGCAGAAAATGCATAGTAGACCACGACGACTCAGAGTCTCAGACAGAAAGACGCAGAGAGGCAAGAGGCGATAGGAGAGGAGGCGATGGGTGATGTCGGTGCCCCAGAGAGAGAGAGACAGAAAAACAAACCGGTGGTCGCACCTCGTGGTTGCAGCGATGAAGACACCCAAGCCCTAGATCTGCGTTGGATCGCCTCAAATCTGGACTCAATGAGGTAAGTTACTGAAGCCTTCTCCTTCAATTTTTGGTCTATAGTCTTTGTCTCTTCGATTTCGTCTGGTGTTTTTTCTCTCTCTTCTCTACTTTTTTTTTTTTGCTTGGAAGACCTGAACTTAGACGGCTTGGCATGTGATTTCTGAGCTTGGAGGTCCTGTGTTCTGACATTTTGCGTGTGGAATCTTTACCTTTCTCAGAGTTCCTTTTTTTTCTTTTGGCCTGGAGTGAAGCGAATCTTTAGCTTTTTTTTTCTTTCTAATCATTGTTTCGTCGAAATTGTTTTGATCGAAACAGTCCAACACACTAACGTTTCAACCAAAACTTTGGAATTTTGGGATTCCACCCAGGTTTCGTATCGGTGTGTTGAAATTCCGAAATGTTTCGAACGTTTCAAACGTTTCGACGACATATAAATCCTTGATTTTGACTTTGGCATCAAATTGGATATTCACTATTTTATGAAAAGATCTAAAACATGAAAAAACTTCACATTTACTGCGTAGTAGGTAAACCCATAGAAGACGAGAATAACAATCAATAAAAGCAACAAACCAGTGATAACCAGAAATAGAAATAACACAAAAATAGCCCCACACATCAGAATGAATAACAATAAAAAAAACAGTGCTTTTATTATTGGTACTAGGATAAGATGAACGTTTATTCTTTAATAAAAAATTGTCTACTACACTGCTTTACTAGACTAGGAAAAAGATGTTCTAAAACACCATATGAGGGATGTCCCAAATGTTTGCACCTCTGTTGTAAGAACTGGAGGGTTGAAACACCATCTGTCTGGAGAGCTTTACCGGTAGGCCAAGAAGAAGGTTCAACATCCAAGAGGTATAGACCACCATGTGTCCTACCACTGCCAAACGTTTTTCTCAATTCTAGTTCTTGAAAGGTACAATGAGTAGGGAGAGAAGAATGTCACCGAACAATTAAGGGTTGTGTAATACTACTAATAGACAATAAATTAGTAGAAAAATTGGGAACATGAAGAGCATAAGAAAGAGATAAAAAAGGTGAGCAATTAATTGAACCTTCCTAAAAATAGAGGATAAGGATCAATCAGCCACCTTAACTTTGTCCATACTAGAACACGTAGAATACAGAGAGAAAAGGCTAGAAAAACCTTTCATGCGATCTGTATTATCCAAGGAGAACATGAAGATGTAGTAAATGCACTGGAAAATATACCAGTATGGACAAAATTGGAAGAAGAGGCAGGGGTAGAAGATGCGGTATATGAAACATAAGTCGAACTATCAGACGCCTAAGAGTCTGCATCTTATCTCATCTTGAGAGAAATTATAGAGAGTAGACCGAGATGAAAAATCTGAAGAGTTAGT